GGGGTTGGACTCGATGATCTCTGGAGGTCCCTTCCAACCCCTGCGATTCTGTGATTCTGTGATTCTGTGATTCTGTGATTCTGTGATTCTATGATGGTGTCTTCTCCAAGGTTCCTTCTGTCTTGTGCTGTTTGGATGTTTGGAAGTACTACTTTTCTGAAAGAGTGGTCAGGCGTTGCAATGGGCTGCCCAAGGAGGTGGTGGACCCTGGAGGTGTTAAAGGAACATTTGGACATTGTGTTGAGGGACATGATTTAGTGAGAACTATTGGTGATTGGTGGACAGTTGGACTGGATGATACTGTCGGTCTTTGCCAACCTTGGTGATTCCATGATTCTATGATTCTTATGCTATTTCCTTGCTTTCAGATGGAGTGGTACTAATCATACCTCCCTCTGTTGCGACTGAAATTGGAGAAGCTGCCAGCTCGGGATGACTGCTATGCAGTTTCTCAGTTCCACGGTACCACCAAGCTCCCATCCCTGCCATCTTGTCACAGAGCCGGGATGCAGCGTTTTACACCTCACTCCGCCCTCTGTGCTGGACCTCTTTTAGCTGGTCCACCAAGCTCCCCTGGTGCTGCTAACAATCTACACTTTGCAGATCTTAACACTGCTTGACAGACCATCATGGAACAGACTCTCTGCATATTCACTTTATTCAAGCATGGAGGTTTCTTCAACCCTTTTCTTCTTCTAGGAAGGGAATATCCCAGTAGGTTCTTCCTCCTAATTACTCCACATTGTCCATTCCGTCTCTACAGTCACTCAAGCTTCTCCATATTTAGAAGGAATTGAGGAGATGACATGCAATCTTGTTCTGAGATTTAGAGCTTAAGGGAGTCGTGGGATACGAGACAATTCACTCACAGTCATAGTATTTAGCAGGATAGTGCTATCAGTTCTGGGCATAAGGGCCAGTCCATCACAGAATGCTGAGGGCAGGAGGCAGCACACTGCTACACCCGCATCACCCTGAAGAGGCAGCAGGAATGGCACAACAAATGAGACGTCTGCTCTTTGACCAAACCTTTAATGATTATTGGATAGAACAACGCTTTGCAAAAAAGTTCCATAAACCTTTCTCCAGCATTTCTCGTGTGTAACACGGAGCATCATGGTTCTTCTTTACCATGGCGTCAATCATTCGGATGAGCTCTGCAACCTGCCGATCCTTTGCCTCTCTTGTGGCTTTGTTGTTGAAAGCAATGCACCGATTTCCACACTTTGCTACCAAACCTTTGAGGAATTGGTTCCCGTCTATGAAGCCTTTCAGACCTGCTGGATCCTCCAGCTCATCTGCTCGGGTGAATAACACGATTGTGTACCTCTCTCCTTCAGTATGGAAAATCTTGGTCACCCACTCAGCCACTTGCTCTACTTCTTTAGTGATTTGGCCCAGCCGTATCACCAGCAGGATGGCATGGACGCCTTCATCCAGGCATCTAAGACCATCCTTGATCTTATCAGCTGTTCTTCTGCTGAAATCCATAGTGTCAAAAACACCAGGAGTGTCAACAACAACAACTGTTCTTCCATGGATGCGGGTTTTATCTTCCTTGTACACTTGGGTTACCCCATGTGCTGCACAGCCAGAGTCAAACGCGTTCTTCCCGAGGATGCTGTTCCCTGTCGCACTCTTCCCACTCCCCGTCTTGCCCACCAGCAACATCCTCAGCTCGGATCCTGGGGAACAAGCAGAGACGTGTGTGAGCCCTGCAGCAGAGGTGCCCAGTGCCACATGTGAAGGTGTCCCCGAGCCACTGCTGTGCACTGCGGGGATGGGACAGGGCCTGGGCTGGAGCCAGCTGCCAGCAGGCACACAGGGCTCGCTCTGCCCCATCTTCCCTTACCCTCACTCTTTTCACACGAGAGGCCACGACATCCCCTGAAATCCCACACACTGTGTACATGAGGCTGCCCAAGAATGCGAGCCCACTGTGCTTTCCCCAGCACTGCACCAAATGCTGGAAATGAGAAGCCTGACAGTGCTACAGCTGCCTGCATGCAGTGGGCAAACAGCTTACCTTTCTTTTCATATTCTGCTCTCCAACTGGGTGCCTGAAAGAAAAGAGAGAGATCTGAAGTGAGATTGGTACAAATCTCCCATGCTTCCCTCCCCACTGCTAACCTCTCTGAAGTCAGATGAGCACAGTAGAGGTGATGTCAGACCGAAGGGATTGCTGTGACCTGTATCTCATGTGCTGTATGGATACCAGAGTTCTGTCACAGGAACCCAGAGAACATTCCCTGATCTGTGGCAGCTCAGGGCCATGTGATGGCCCTGGAGGGCTGTGCCATGCCCACTGTTCTGTGGAACAGAGCCTTTCCCTCACTCCCACCAGGTTTTTCCCTGACACAGCTCCATGCTGTTCCCTCCCCAGAGCCCTTCTGTGGGGCTGCCATATGTCCTCTTCTCCCCCATACTGTACTGAGAGCTCATATCCAGTCACTTAAGGGGGCACTGAAGAGAACCAGTCCCCTGACGGAGCCTGCAGAACCCCCAGGGACTGCCAGCAGCACATCGATCCCCATGTCCCAGCACCCTGAGCCTGACCCATCAGCCTGTGTCTGTGTCCAGCTGTGTGCCAGGCATTTTGTCTGAAAGGGTCATGTGAGCAACAGTAGGGTGGCACTGCTGAAATCTGGAGCCTCCCCTTGGTCTACTCGATTAGTGAGGTGCCCCAAGGGAGACGAAGCCAGTGGAGAGGGGAGCTGGCAGAACAGTCCAACCAGCCAGCAGGTCAAAAAGAGGCTCCTTGAGGAGCAGTTCCGGCACAGCACCAGATGTGGGACTTTGCATCCCAAGAGCTGCAGGAGCAACCAGTGCAGTGTGCACATTCTGCAGGTGCCTCAGAGCTGGGGAGCTCCCATTCCTGCCTACAGCCATGCAGGGACTGCCAGTGTGGGGCCAGAGATCCCACAAACATAGCATTCCCATAGATACCTCAGGGCTGATGATAAAATTAAGAGCAAAGGGAGGCATAGAGCACCTCAGCTCTCACACCATGGGCAGCTCCCCCTCCCCATCAAGGACTTGCCACATCCCTGCACCACAGCAGGGCAAGGGCTGATGGCCCCAAAGGGACTGTGCTACACATAGGGCAGCCCAAATGGCTTTCCCTGCCAGCAGCTCTCAGCCAGTGAGAAAGCGAGGCCCTGTGGGGGAGTTGCCCTCTATGTCAAAGAGTGGATGGACTGTGAGGAGCTCCCTCTGAAAAACGGTCAGGAACAGGTTGAGAGCCTGTGGTTAGAATTAGGGACGGGTCTAACAAAGGCCAGCTGCTGATGGTGTAATCTACAGGCCACCTGGCCAAGGGGAGACTGTTGATGAGGCTTTCTTGCTTCAGATGCAGGAGGTGTTGTGCTCACAGCTCTTGTCCTGATGGGGGACTTCAACCATCTGCATATCTCCTGGATAGACCACACAGCGAGCTGCAAGAGGTGCAGGAGGCTCCTGGAATGTGTTGATAACTTGCTGGTCCAGGTGTTGGACAGACCGACCAGAGGTGAAGCACTGCTGGACCTGCTGCTCACCAATGCGGAGAAGATCGTTAATTAAAGGCATTAAGGTTGGAAGCTGCAGTGAGCACGCCCTGGTTGAGTTCGTGATCTCGAGGGATGTGGGCCTGGTGAAGAGTGGCGTCAGGATCCTGAACTTTGGGAGAGCAAACTTAAAGCTGCTCAATGGACTGTTGGCCGAGATTGGGGGTTGGACTCGATGATCTCTGGAGGTCCCTTCCAACCCCTACAATTCTGTGATCCCCTGGGATGCTGTCTTTTAAAACAAAAATGCTGAGGAGAGCTGGCTGCTCTTCAAGGATGCCTTCCTGAGAGCACAAGAGCTCTCCGTCCCTCTGAATAAGAAAGCGGGCAGAGGAGGCAGGAAACCAGCACGGCTCAGCAAGGACCTGCTGGGCAGCTGAGGGCAAAGAAAGGTGCGTACAAGCTCTGGAAACAAGGCCGTGTCACCTGGGAAGAATACAGGGATGGCGTCCAGACTTGCAGACGTGGGATCAGGAAAGCCAGGGCACAGGCAGAACTGAACTTGGCAAGGGGCGTGAAAAACAATCGCCAGAAGAGACAGGCCAAAGCGAGTGTTCCTCCTCTGGTAAATGCAAAAGGAGAACTGGCTTCAACGGACAGAGAGAAGGCTGAGGTACTGAAGGAGTTCTTTGCCTCAGTCTTCACTGGCGGCCAGGATTCCAGTACTTCTCACATCCCTGAGCCCTGCATCCCTAAACCTCCAGGTGGGGATGGGGGTGGTAAATCCCCTCCCGCTGTGAGGACAGAGCAGGTCCGAGACTGAATGTGTACAAGTCTATGGGGCCAGATGGTGTGCATCCCAGGTTCTGAAGGAGCTGGCTGAGGTGGTTGCTGAGCTGCTCTCCATCATATTTGGAAAGTCGTGGCTGTCAGGTGAGGTCCTGGATGACTGGAGGAAGGGTCACGTCACCCCCATTGACAAGAAAGGGAGCAAGGAGGACCCAGAGAACTACAGACCAGTGAGTCTCACCTCTGGGCCTGGGAAGATCATGGAACAGATCATCCTGGATGACATGCTTGATCACATGAGGAAAGGGCGTGTGATCCGTGACAGCCAGCACGGCTTCACCAGAGGAAGGTCATGCTTGGCCAGTCTGGTGGCCTTTTATGATGGAGTGACGGCATCGGTGGACAAGGGAAAGGCGACCGATGTCATTTACCTGGACTTGAGCAAGGCCTTTGACATGGTCCCCCACCACAGCCTTATCTCCAAACTGGAGGGATGTGGATTTGATGGGTGGACCACTCGATGGATAAGAAACTGGTTGAAAGGCTGCAGACAGAGGGTGGTCATCAATGGCTCCATGTCCAGGTGGAGGCTGGTAACGAGTGGTGTCCCCTCGACAATGGCATCCAGTGCACCCTCAGCAAGTTTGCTGATCACACCAAGCTGAGTGGTGTGGTTGACACGGTGGAAGGAAGGGATGCCATTCAGAGGGACCTCGAGAGGCTAGAAAGGTGGGCCTGCATGAACCTGATGAGGTTCAACACGGCAAAGTGCAGAGTTTTGCACTTGGGCCGGAGGAATCCCAGGCATCCCTACAGACTGAAAGGAGCGGTCCTTGAGAGCAGCCCTGTGGAGAAGGACCTGGGGGTCTTGATAGATGAAAAGCTTGCTCAGCCTGGAGAAAAGAAGGCTGCGGGGTGACCTCAATGCAGCCTTCAGTACCTAAAGGGAGCTTAAAAAGAGGAGGGGATTCAACTCTTTGAAAGGGTTGATAACAGCAGGACAGGGGAAATGGTTTTAAGTTGAGGGAGGGGAGATTGAGGTTGGACGTCCTTTCCTATGAGAGTGGTGAGGTGCTGGAACAGCTGCCCAGAGGGGCTGTGGATGCCCCATCCCTGGAGGTCTTCAAGGCCAGGTTGGATGCGGCCCTGGGCAGCCTGGTCTAGCATTAAAATGGGGACACTGGTGGCCCTGCATGTGGCAGGGGAGCTGGGGATTCATGATCCTTGAGGTCCCTTCCAACCCTGGCCATTCTGTGTTTATGTGATTCTGTGCCCACACAGCTCAGCACCAGCTCCATGCGACCCAGCATGAGGCAGCCAGCACTGGGACCTGGTTCTGACCACATCGGGTTTGTGACCATCCTCTCCCAGCACTGCCCAGCACAGCAGAACCCAGCACTCCTCCAGACAGCAAGGCTCAGTGCTTATTGAGAGCTCCTTCAGGCCCACCACCACACAACGTGCCCCTACATCGCCCCGTGAAGGCAGCAGGAACAGCATGGTTGAGGAGACGTTTCTTCTCTGACCGACCCCTTGCTGCCCACAGGATGTTACCAACCTGTTCAGGAGATTTCTCTTTATGTTTCTCCAGCATTTCTTGTGTGTAACACGGAGCATCACAATTCTGCTTTACCATGGCATCAATCATGTTAATGAGCTTTGCAACCTGCCGATCCCTCGCCTCTCCGGTGGCTGTGTTGCTGAAAGCGATGTGCCGATTTCCACACTTTGCTGCCAGCTCTTTGAGGTATTTGTTATCTTCAATTAAGCCTTTCAGATCTTCGGGCTTCTGTAGCCCTTCTGCTCGCGTGAATAACAGGATTGTGTACCTCTGTGCTTCGGTATGGAAAATCTTGGTCAGCCACTCAGCCACTTGCTCACATTCTTCAGTGACTTGGCCCAGCTGCATCACCAGGATGATGGCATGGACCCCACCATAGAAATTCCGAAGGGCATTTCTGATCTTTTCAGCTGTTTCTTGTACAGTGACTCCTCTAGTACCAAAAAGACCAGGAGTGTCAACAACAACAATTGGTCTTCCATTGAATGAATCTCTAGCATCTATGTAGTCTGTGGTTATTGCACGTAGTGTCAACTTTGATTCAAATGCATTCCTTCCAAGGATGCTGTTCCCTGTTGCACTCTTTCCACTCCCCGTCTTGCCCACCAGCAATATCCTCAGCTCGGTTCCTGTGGAACAAGCAGAGACGTGTGTGAGCCCTGCGGTGCCGTGACAGCCCCTGCTCACCACGGAGTGCCCAGGGCCACAAGGAAAGGTGTCCCCGAGCCACCGCTGTGCCCTGCGGGGACGGGACGGGGCACGGGCTGGAGCCGGCTGCCAGCAGGCACACAGGGCTCGCTCAACTCTTCCTGGCCCTATCCCATCTCTCAGCTCTCCTACAGGGAAACAGATCGTGCCCAGCAGGAAGCCAAGCCCAAACAGAAGGTTCTGACCAAAGGGCCCTCTGGAAAAAGGACGCAAAGCCCCATGGCTGGTCAGAAATGGGCACAGCACGGCTCCCACCGCCACGTTCCCCACACCACGGAAAAGCAGCTGGGGACTGCAGCCATTGGATCACCACCCCTGGGTTTGGTACCAGACAGCCAACAGTGTCGCCCCACTGCCTCAAGATCTGCTCCAGCTTCACCCCAGCGCCAACAACATGGTGTGGGCAGCCTAGCTCCCCCACCCCTCTAGTGGCCCTCAGGCTCCATCAGGAGGAACAGGTGGCCCTGAGAGTGCCCAGGAATGTCCGTTTCTAGGATTCCTCAGAAGGCTGCACCCAGTGCTCTTCCAAAAACGGAAACAGAAAGCGAAAGCAATCTCACAGCTTTCTGTGGCCCAGGACTGCATGGAGTAAGCAAAAACCCAGGCTGAACTGCTCTACTTTCAAGAATTCAGACCCTGACAGATAACACAGCAGCAATGTTGTTCTTTCGGCCCTTCCCTGCCCTGCATGGCTTCAGTGAGTCATGGCTTCCATACAACAAGCACAGAGACAGCAAGGTTTGTTGCATGGCTTTCCCCCTGTGCTGTGTCTCAGGCCGTACCACCGCACACCGCTGTCCCATCCGCCCTCAGTCTTGGTCTGTGTGGCTCTCAGAGCAGGGAGATGGGAGGCAGCCTCAGGATGTGCATCAGCGTGCAGAGGGTGAGCAGCTCACCTTTGCTTAGATGTCCTGCCATTGGGAGAGCACTCACTCACACGGGGAGCCTGGAAGGAGAGAGATTTTAAGTGAGAATGGCACAAACCTCCCCTGCTTTCCTCCCTGTGCCAATGAAGGTGATACAGATGATCTCTGGGGACTCAGGTTAGTCCCACAGCTGTCTGCATGGAGAAAGCCAAACGGCATCAAAATTACCCATCTCCATTGACTTTGTCTTTGGAAAGAGATATTGGCTGAACTGTATTCATGGAAGACAGAACCCGCTCCTTGAAAGCAGATTCTGCATCCTTGGAATCTCTTCCAGCAGTGGCAGCAGAGCTGCAGGCAACTCACCGAAGCAGCGCTGCGCTGTGTCCCCAGGTCTGACTGCTGCACTTGTGCTGTTCCTGCTCTCCTCCTGCGCAGCAGCGCCGGGGCTGGAACCGCTGTGCAGCTCAGCAGCGCTTTTAGAGGCAGCGTCAGGAGGAGGGCAGTGCTGCCATCGTACCTCAGCGCTGCTCCACAATTGGCCACATCTGAGCTGTCCCACTGCGGGGACACCGCCCACTGTGCCAAAGCCACATCCAGCCTGGACTTGGGCACTGCCAGGGATGGGCCATCAACAGCTC